TTAAAACTGTCTAGGTGAAAATGTTTTGAAAGTATCCCAATTATCTTCGCAACATATTTATATAAGAAGGATGAAATTTATATGAATATCCGCATTAATTATACAAAATAATGGCTGTTTTACTCTATTGAAACCAACTGTCACAGGGGAATGCATGTTTTAAATGTTTCTGGAAGTAATTCAAACTTGACGCATGTACCAGGTATTTACTTCGTAAATTTGCACTTAAAAATTATACGAAAATAAAAACATTGATCCCGTGCCAATTTCGCTATCAAACTGACTCCATGTTACAGTGATGAGACAGGAAGTACACAGTTCACCGTAGTTGACACGTTTACACCTGTCAATTAACAGGACAAGATAACACACCTGGATAAACGTTTTATTAATGTATCACTTTAATGCACATTAACACCTACTTTGTGGCCAAACAAGAAATTATACAATGTTAAAACGTAAATTGTGTTAGGTAGCTATTTGTGGAGGTAGCCAAGACAGGATAGTATACCCACTCTAGTACATAAAGTATGAGAGGGGACTAGAGCAGAAAGTATGAGAGAGGACTAGAGCAGAAAGTTGGAGAGAGGACTGGAGCAGACTACGCACCAGCTTAAAGGATGCAATATTCACGTATTCAAGTACAGTAAAATGCAACAGACCAGACCAGGATTCGAACCTGGAACCACCTATAACTCTAGATGCATGCTCTAACCAGAAGGTCACTGGAAATTTACCCAATCCAGATCTCATGAATCTGAACATACATTTGTACATCTATGATATCTGCACTATATATTAGGGTAACTGTGGTATCAGACTGTATATTAGGGTAACTGTGGTATCAGACTGTATATTAGGGTAACTGTGGTATCAGACTGTATATTAAGGTAACTACAGTATCAAACTATGATTAAGTAACTACAGTATTTGCATAGTATAGTTAAGGGTTACTACGGTATCTGTAATGTATATTAGGGTAACTACGGTATCTGTAATGTATATTAGGGTAACTAAGGTATCGGACTGTATAATTGGGTAACTACGTTATCTGTAATGTATATACAGGTAACTATGGTATCTGTAATGTATATTAGGGTAACTAAGGTATCAGACTGTATAATTGGGTAACTACATTATCTGTAATGTATATTAGGGTAACTAAGGTACCAGACTGTATAATTTGGTAACTACGGTATCTGTACTGTATATTAGAATAACTAAGGTATCAGACTGTATAAATTGGTAACTATGATATCTGTACTGTTTATTATGATAACTAAGGTATCTGTTTCGGACCCTCTCCCAGTTGATATTATGATAACTACGGTATCTGACTGTATATACGGGTAACTACAGTATCTCTACTGTATATTAGGGTAACTACGTTATCTGTACTGTTTATTATGATAACTAAGGTATCTGTTTCGGACCCTCTCCCAGTTGATATTATGATAACTACGGTATCTGACTGTATATACGGGTAACTACAGTATCTCTACTGTATATTGGGGTAACTACGTTATCTGTACTGTTTATTATGATAACTAAGGTATCTGTTTCAGACCCTCTCCCAGTTGATATACATACAGATGAAGGCAGGCAGAACTGTACCTGGTGTATTCTCTCATCCCTAACACAGTGCTGCTGAAAGCAGATAATTTGCCTCCTGACAACAAACTGTGAAGTTTTTCTCCCCAGAGTATGATTGAAACCTGACTGGTACATTAACGAGAAGTTATAAAATTGGAACAATATATTTCTGTACTTGTGACGCTTACTTCAGATGTAAATAGGGACCTGTATGTTTATGTAAATGTGTACCTTGATGACCTGCACTGGAAATTATCTTAACAAACGCACACCTAGAGCACCCAAAGGTCTCCTGTACTTGGGTACGAAGCTGCTGGGTTCAGAATGTAGGGCATCTTCCAATGTTCTATTCTTCTCCAGAAAACAAACTACTACAAAGCTATTACATGTCAAAATTTCTAATAATTATACTGTCCAAGTCTTCACCCCAAAAGACAGCAATATTTATAATCCAGGTTCAGGTATCCCCTTGCCAAATGATTACACTCGTTACTAATACCTCATTCACCCTGACATTTTATAATGACCTATTCCAACCTTTGAGTTGGAAAAGTTCAAATGAGTCTTCAGGGGTGAATGAGTTAAACAAGGGCTGCTCATGCACAGGCCTCACCATAACTGCAGAGGTAAAATATTTCCAAGACATGTTTCGAACCCAGGCCCTCCAAACTCTAAATGGAGGGCATTCTATAACCAACTGAGTTTACCTGGTCAGTGATTGTCATTCAGGCCGATCTCTCACAATACTCCAATTTTTTTCCTACGTCATTTCACATTCTGACGCCCAAGTCTTTGTGTCCTTCCTAATAGAATCCTAAATTAACTCACATTTGTTTATCAAAATTGCAGAAACCAGGATAAACTTCAGCCTTGGTTTTGATAAGAATTATTACTGAACTTGTACATCTTCATCATGGGATCACAGAGAAAGTGGTGCTAAGAAATTATCTTAATTTAAGTACAGGAAATGTTCAATTCAGGACTTGTAAGCTATACTTTAGTAGTACATATATCTTATAATTGGATAAAACGTAAAAAATTGGAAAATCCCATGGTAATCCCTGCCCAGATCCCAATGTATTAACATGTGGTGCCAACTGTTCCTTGATTTTTAAATGGAACCCTGATGTAAACTTTTAGACTTTATCTTATGACAAAACCATAAATAAATCATACCAGTGAAATATAAATCAACATGTTCATTTACTTCAGTTTTTATGAGGTGGAAATACGATTTCATGAACCCGGTTGATGTGTTAACAAGTGTTAGCGTTTGGATAACTAATGAATTTTAAGGCTCATAAAGAAATAAAGTTTTCTTTTATCCACGCACTTTTTAGGACTCATCATTTTGCCATCAGGTGTTGAGCAGATGTCAATATCACAGTTTACGGGTTCATCAAACCCTGGTTACATTTCCGTGTTCTCATCAAAGGTCAATAACTCATCACAAAACAATTCGCGGGGAACAGACTAAACATTGTCAGACATCAATGGAGTGGAAGTAACTCCTGATTTCTACCGATGTCGTCTCCTAGGTAATGGAAGGTGATATAACGCTTGATCATAGCGTTAGTCATAACCTTTTTATCTAAAACTACAATACAATCAATGAAGATTACACTGTGTAACAGTTAAACCTCACTGAAATACCCCACATTTTAATCACCACAAGTAGTTTCTGCAAAAATATTTCAAGGCCCCTTATTTCCTTTTTTTTAACAGTTCCTTAAAATCTCTTCAACTCATGTATCATCACCTTTCGAGGCTAACAAGGTTTTACAATACATTGCAAAAATCTTGCAATATCTAAAAAGGTTTGGAAATATTTAGTGTATGCATTGGTTTCCCTGTTTAAGGTTCAGATTGAAAGAATTTAATAATTATACACCTGGAATTGTTCGGTCCTGTCTGTTCAACAACACCAGAACATTTATCCCTCACAAATAGATCATCATTTTTCATCTGGTTATGACTGTAGAATGATTGTCAATGAATTCGTGGAACTATTGTCAATATTGCAATTTTTGCGAAGACAGAAATAACTTAAACACAGAATATCCATTCTCGAACTTTAAACTTCCAGGGAATACACAAGCCACACTGTGGTATTTCTCACACTTATCTGTGTGTATAACTCAGGACTGTTATTACATATTATCTCCTGTCCATGTATTCCAGCTATAAAAACACTGACAGAAACGTTGATACGGCAGGAACGATGCCTGACCTGACAGTATAGGCTTATGCGACTGCCTTCAGGGAAGCATTAATGACAACATTGGATTTGTTTCACTAAGACTCGTATAAGACTCGGATCAGTTTCAGACTGGAGCCAAGACTCAGTAAAGACTCGGCCAAGACTGACTTAGTTATCTATTTTTATTTTATTTTATTTTTTATTGAACTATAGTTGCTATGATATTAGGCCTCCTTAATATGCTTTAATACAGAGATATAAATTTCATAGAATCAATCAACACACTCAACACAACAGGCATTTATTACTGGTCCTATGGGACCTGGTTAATACCGCCACATGTGGGCAATGAGTTGTATTGGTGTTCTGTTTTGAAGTGGGACCACACTTCAATGTGAATTTTTTTCCCCATTCTTGAATGTTACAGCAAAGATACTGTAGTAACCACCCAAAACCATACTATACAACACCTGGGTTAAATTGTGTAGGCAGGATCGAACCTTGGCCATCCGTATGGATGACTTGAGTGTTAACCAATTTGCCAAAACCACCCATACACTGGGCTATGATTTGTTTGAGCTACAGGAGAATATTTTACTGCTTGGACTTAATTAGGCTGAAAGTTTGATTTTGGCAAATTAAGGTGAGACTTTTCTGTAGGACTGGCCTCGTATTAGGACTATAAGGCTGGTTTAGCTGTTAGACAGGACTAAGCTGACATCAATCATGGGACTAGACTGAATTACACTAGAACAGGGCTAAACTAAGAACGTCTGTTTCTGATTTGGTGCTTGGCTTGTAACTCAGACTGGACCTAGATGGGGTGTAGCTTGGTATACGTTTCCTAGACCTAGATGGGGTGTAGCTTGGTATAAGTTTCCTGGCTTGTAACTCAGACTGGACCTAGATGGGGTGTAGCTTGGTATAAGTTTCCTGGTTTGTAACTCAGACTGGACCTAGATGGTGTGTAGCTTGGTATAAGTTTCCTGGCTTGTAACTCAGACTGGACCTAGATGGAGTGTAGCTTGGTATAAGTTTCCTGGCTTGTAACTCAGAATGGACCTAGATGGGGTGTAGCTTGGTATAGGTTTCCTGATTAGTGATTCAGGCTGGGCTAGAGCGTGAACTCAATTAAGACTGGACTTTGATTGGTCTTTGACTGGACTAGGACTGAATGAGCAGGTTACTAAATATAGCCATGACCTACCTGTATTAGGGACACTTGTGTTGACTTGATCCTGCGGGTACTGAGGTTCTTGATCTCGGCCCAGACAGGAATCGCCTCCTTCATAACAAAGCCTTTGCGTTCGAGTTTGATGGCTGCAGTCACAGTTCCAGCAATACAGCACCAAGATCCCACGGCTTCAAATGTGTCATTTTCTACTGGAAGCTGGAAAGACAGAATGTTTCCAGTAAATTACATTAATATATCCCTTACTGTCAATTAATTAAACCAGTCCACACCAAATCCAAAAATTCTGTTTTTAGAAATTGACCTTTAACCTCTGACCTATTAAGTTTTGAGTAACATTTGTATGCTAATGGTTTTTCATGTTGACTGAACGGCAAAAGAAAAAAAAACAAGTTCAGAAGCACTATAGAGAAAAGTATGTACTTTCTAAAAATAAATCATCAATGTTAATAAAATAATGGAGCTGTTTTGATTGCCTACAGCATAGTTTTGTTCTATTTCAATGGTAGAGTCGGAAGTAAGTCTGAAACTAATCTCTGTGATGCTCTAATGAAGCAGGACCGATACAGACTCCATACAGACTTACTCCTGGACACCTGGCACAGTACTGCCTGCCTGTCAGGTCTGTGTGTTGGTGTCCCAAAACTCAAAGTATTGTCAACTTCACATCAACATTATGTAACAATTTCCTTTCATGATATTAAATGTAATAGAGTCAAAAAATTTGCAGGACATTTTCAAAATATTTATAGGGGTACAAAATATTCATAACAATCACTGTTTACTTATGTTTATTTTCTTTTTAAATAAGTCAAAGAATAGTTACCACTAAGCGACAGGACACAGAGTATCTAGATCTAGGGCTAAGTTGTTAAAGCATGGTTAGCTTCACAACAGTTAATGAATGTTTATTTACTATATATATATATGTATAACACAAGTAATGCTAAAATATCTAGTTCTGCCTTGCTTGCTGTCAAGATCGTACTGCCTTCTGTGTGTTAAACACCCAACTAATGTCACTTTGTTTTGTGTAAGAGTGTTTGTTTTTGTTGACCAATCCTTTGCCCTAATGACCTCTCCTGTGTTGATGGGCCGTTAAACATGCAATGATAATAATGTTATGTAAGAGTTATCTCCTCTTGCATGCTTTTATTGGAACTTATCAATACACATGCTATTGTTTCTCATACAAATGTGTCATCAACGAATCAGCCAAATCCAAATTACTAAAGTATTTCCAGACAAGTTTATTAGAAAATAGAGCTCTTTTGGTAAAGTGTGCAATATATGTCACTGCAGCAGTAAGATAGCATACATCTTTAATTCCTTTCCATTTGCTAGGTTCCGAGATATTTAACCCTAAAGACTAGTACACTGGATCAAACTCAGATCAAGCAGCTGACAATGTACTGTGCATGTATTATCTTGTAGATAATATATTTTTATTTCTTTTCTTTAAAAATTGAACTGTCATTATATAGTTCTCAATAAAAATATATCGAAATATGAATATATAAAAAATCTCTATATTTTAATGAATCTTACTGAATACCAGCCCTTTAGTTTTTGTTAAGATTTAGTGTCAAGCTGCATTCTTCTGCTACATGTCAATTATCTTCCCTTGTTTAAAATTCAAACCTATAGAATTGGACACCCAAGGGATCAAAATCAAAAAAGTCTCTTTTTTTCTTTATAGATGCATGCACTATTTTGCAGACAGAGAGGCCAGTCTACTTTATGTGTATAAGTTATTTAACAGGTATCCTGTTTTAACTTGTTGAGTGTCATTATACACGTTTAAATCATATTATAGCCAGCCAGATATTTATAAATACACAATATTTAGTTATTTATTGTCGGAGATCAATACCAGCCAATTATGATATCCAATTTTATATTTGTGTCAGATGTGTCCTTTTTGTTAGTGTTATAAAGGTTTTATTGGATACATATCAGTTTCCATTCAATTCTAACTCAGTCCTCATTTCCGATGTCATAATTTGAACACCGGATCCGCGACAGACGTCGGTTGACGTCATACAGTTTGATACAGCTTGCTCTAGAAATCAAAGTATTGTCCTCAAAATTCAAAGCGGCACAAATAGAAAGATTTACCGACTACTGAACGATAAAGCTTTCCAAATATTATGATATTTCCTTGTTTCCTGTTCCCTGTGATCTATACCTGAATACTTATATATATATCAAAGGCATTCGGTGTATATATACCAATACCGTATTGATTTTAACACTGAAGTGCTTGGGCAATTATTACTATGAAACATCAAAACAACTCCAATAGAAGGTGGGCGACTATAGGCCACAATAATTAGGACAAACATACTGGGACATGGGATGGAAAGGATGACAACAAAATGCAAAAAAATAAAACCTACATTAATTAGCAAAAATAAATATTATCTACATTCGGGCATTAATTAAACATGGACATGTATTCAAAAACTTAAAAAAATTATGGGATCTCTGTGTAAGACACGTTTGTGACAGTATTATAGGTGAAGGGGGAGGGGGTTTACACTATATATGGTTAAGCAGATAACCAAGGATGCAGGGGTGTCTCAATAATAGAATCCTTCACCCCCTTGAGGGTGAGATAGGGAATCTCAACCAGGGGGGAAAATTCTGGAGCTGACAAACACGAGGCTTGCCAATGTCTGACAACTGTATATTATTAACCCTGGTTCAGATCCCTAATCTAACCCCTAAGGGGCTGAATGACTATTTTTTCCCTTACACTGTTGACCCTTACATATCATATAATATACAATTTACAAACATAACGTAAAAAGGGTCAATTCATTTTTGACATTGTTGTGACATCAATGAATTGTTGATGCAATATCATACAATTATGATGACTGGGAAATCTCAACGCAACTGTTCGGTGAGACAGGGATATTTCACGGCAGAAAAAGTTTGTATACGCCTGTCTTGGGTAAGAAAATTAAGTGTTTTCCACAAATCAAAATTGATAGAAAGAAATGTCAATCTAGAGAGATCAAGAGAAACAGAGAGAAAACTCACTGCTGCGTCAGGTTCGGCATTTAGGTCAAGGGCACCAATGACGGCAAATTTACTGGTACGTGTTGGGTGGGGTCCTCCCGCTGTGCATATTGTCATCTTAACAAAGTAGCGTAGACGGCCATGCTTGCCCTTAAAAGACGAGGGGAGTCTCTGTGGTAATGTAAATTCAAAGGGGAAATAATGTGACCCCGGATGAAGAAAGGCGCCATCTTTCATGTCCTTCTCACCTGCAACAAGAAAAGAATCAATATAATATTTCAACATCAATAAAGACTGGGACTGTGCTTTAGTTAGTTATCTAGTACATCAACCTTGGCCATCATTAAACATTAAAAAGAAATTGATTTTCATACATTTTACACATTATACAGAGAGATTTTCACCACATGAAATAGTACAACATTGACGGAAAGATTTCATCTTCAGTCCTAGGTGAAAATTGCACTAACACTTTTTTACATAAATAAAATTTTCACCTGGAATACTGGAAGGAGAGATTGGACATATTAGAGTACCTGGTGAAAGTAGGTACTGATGGAGAGAATGGAGGATTTTTTGGAATCTAATTATTTGATATTGAGGGAGAGTTTTGAGAGGATATATTGAAGAGATTTAAAGTTGTCTTGTGACCATATATAAAAGGAGATATTTGAGGAGATATTTGAGGAGATATTTTGAGATATTTTGAAGAAAGTTCAAGTTGTCTTATGATCTGATTTGGAAGTAAAGATTTGAGGAGGTTCAAGAATGCCGCGTTCAGCAATATTTGAACCAAATGATCATTGAATTAGATTTGCTGAGAACTTCTGAGGGAGATTTATATAAGTTTTTACTCCCTATCTGAAGAGAGCTGTCAATTTTACCAACCTTTAATGGGGAGAACTGTCAATTATACCAAGCTTTAATGGGGAGAACTGTCAATTATACCAAGCTTTAATGGGGAGGACTGTCAATTATACCAAGCTTTAATGGGGAGAACTGTCAATTATACCAAGCTTTAATGAGGAGAACTGTCAATTAGACCAACCTTTAATGGGGAGAATAGTTGTGTAGTTGAAAACCTCTTCATCCGATGCCTGTATGTCACTCGAGGTCATCCATTCGACCTTCGCTTCTCCCACAGCTTCCATACATACCGCTGCAACCAGACGCATCTCATTAATATTCGAAGGTAATTAATCATTAAAAGGTACAATCTACATAGGAGCAAATCAATGTAAATAAGACAAAAGTCAATCAATAAACATGATATAGCAAATACTTAAATAAAATCAATAAAAAAGGTTACATTATAGTGAGATTACAGCTCAACCAGACATACTTCATTAATTAATATGGTAATTATTAAAAGGTGTAGTTAGATAAAACTAATGAATATTCATGATATAGTAATTAGCAAAACACAACATACATTTCATGAACAAATCAATGTTACTAGACACAAGTCATTAATGTTTCTGACATACTGTATACCAGGAAATTTGCTGCAGTTTACAATTTTTGACGTTTTTGTCCTCAACGAACATTAGTAAACAACATTATATATGTAGTAATTAAAAATGAATGGTGAAATTAATACTGGGCGAACATGGATTTTTACCGACAAAGGGCAAAATTTTTTGACTCGATGAAATTCCCGGGATACAGTAGTTAATATGGTAAAGATTTAGATTTAGGATTTATGTAAAAACAAACGATTACCAATTAAGATTATATTCACAGCTGAACGAACATTGTAATGCATTACAAATTATTTTGAAGATCAATTCACAGCTGAAATATTCAAAATAATTTCCTCCGTTTACAAAGATATGCCTTAAGCTTTGACACACTGGTGAACAGGCAACAAAGGGACCTAACTCAGTATGTAGTGGAGAATGAGACAAAATTTCAGTATGCGACAATCTGTCATCGCAGGGAGTACAAACCCTGACACCTATACTACGTACAATACCAAAACAGCAAACATATCCACAGAAATATTTCTACGTAATAGGATTGTACCAGTTTAACCTAAGAGTGTAAAGGAATGCAGTTTCTTTTAAGTTTTGTTTGCATAAACGCTTCCATTCACACAGAGTCAGACAACATTTATAATTGGGATAAATGAAGGATGGGTAATTCATGATAATTGTTATCTAGTTTGAGTTCAGTTACAGCTGAAAAACTTCTCCGAGTTAGGTACATAATCCTAGTATAATTCCATAATTTCACATTGTCACACCTATGCACATCTGTCTGTCCTAGCTCAGGGATGAACACACAAGTTCAAAAAGAAAATATATCTTTTAACTTGTTCTATATATGGAGTGAAATCTGACCTTGAGCAGGTCTTTGAAACTCTGAAATATGAAGTTGTTTGTGGTTTTCTAGATCCTAGCAGCAGTTGACAGCTTCATCATAAAATGAATACAATTGATTGATGAGAATCACTTTTGATATATATTGCCACCGACACTGACCTTTGTGCCAAGACATGAACAATAAACTCAGAAAACTAAGTTGAGATATTTTAGTTGTATACAATAATATGGAGCTTCAATCAAACCCATTAAGGTAACATATATCTCCTTAACTCTAAAACAAATCCCAGGTATAATGTGTAAGGTAGCATATCTCATTAACCCTCACACAAATCACAGGTATGATGTGTAAGGTAGCATATCTCCTTAACTCCACCATAAATCACAGTATGATGTGTAAGGTAGCATATAACCTTAACTCTAATACAAATTACAGGTATGGTGTAAGGTAGCATATATCTCCTTAACTCTAACACAAGTCAAAGGTATAGTGTGTAAGGTAGCATATCTCCTTAACTCCACCATAAATCACAATATGATGTGTAAGGTAGCATATAACCTTAACTCTAACACAAATTACAGGTATGGTGTAAGGTAGCATATATCTCCTTAACTCTAACACAAGTCAAAGGTATAGTGTGTAAGGTAGCATATCTCCTTAACTCTAACACAAATCACAGGTATGATGTGTAAGGTACAACATATCTCCTTAACTCTAACACAAATCACAGGTATGATGTGTAAGGTAGCATATCTCCTTAACTCTAACACAAATTGGAAGTTAAGCATGTAATCTTATCACTTCCACAAAACACGGGTATAGTATATGATGTGCATAGCATATACCCTTAACTCTAATTAAACACAAATCACAAATATGATGTATAAAGAAGTATATAATCTAAGCTCAATACAAATCATGGGTATAATTTTTAAGATAGCATACAACCTTGACTCTAACGCAAATCTAAGATATAATGTGTGCAGATACTCAGCATATGACCCTGAATATGACATCCAAATGATAAGACAGATCGACTAAACGTCATAACAATCTTCAGAACCAGATGGAACATTGGAGAATTAATGGTGAATTGCAAGAAGACATTATTCTCCACCGAGATGCTACTATATTTATCACCATGACATCAAGCAATTCAAGTAGGTACATAATCCTAGTATAATTCCATAATTTCACATTGTCACACCTATACGCACATCTGTCTGTCCTAGCTCAGGGATGAACACACAAGTTCAAAAAGAAAATATAACTTTTGACTTGTTCCATATATGGAATGAAATCTGACCTTGAGAAGGTCTTTGCATGAAACTCTGAAATATGAAGTTGTTTGTGCTTTTCTAGATCCTAGCAGCAGTTGAAAGCATCATCATAAAATGAATACAATTTATTGATGAGAATCACTCTAACGCAAATCTAAGATATAATGTGTGCAGATACTCAGCATATGACCCTGAAGATGACATCCAAATGATAAGACAGATCGACTTAAACGTCATAACAATCTTCAGAACCAGATGGAACATTGGAGAATTAATGGTGAATTGGAAGAAGACATTATTCTCCACCGAAATGACTGATGCTACTATATTTATAGACATGACATCAAGTAGCCATTCAGAACTGACTTTGTCAAAATTATGGTCAGATTTTGACACCATGCTTAAATATATAAATGATGGTCAGATTTTGACACCATACTTAACAAGAGGCCCATGGGCCTTAACGGTCACCTGAGTCTACAGTATTTATTTTTGTTGTTGAAATATGTACCAATTTGAGTAAAAAATAGTATAATGTTAACTTAACTTTGTCAGGACCATGAGCTGATCATTCCTAGACCAATTTTAAGTGAGATCGGCCTATTAGAACTTAGTAGCAAAATAGCGGCCATGGCAGCCAAATTGTATTTCTGATTGACCCGAAAAATAACAACACTTTGTCAGGACCATGATTCGATCATTCCTACAAAGTTTCAGTTCAATCGGCCAAGTAGATCTTTACTTTAAGTTTGAAATAGTTTTCCAAAATGGCAGCCGTGGTGGCCATATTGGATTTCTGATCGACCCGAAAAATAACAACACTTTGTCAGGACCATGAGTCAATCATTCCTACAAAGTTTCAGTTCAATCGGCCTAGCAGAACTTGACTTTAAGTTTGAAATAGTTTTTCAAAATGGCGGCCGTGGCGGCCATATTGGATTTCTGATCGACCCGAAAAATAACAACACTTTGTCAGGACCATGAGTCGATCATTCCTACAAACTTTCAGTTCAATCGGCCCAGCAGAACTTGACTTTAAGTTTGAAATAGTTTTTCAAAATGGCGGCCGTGGCGGCCATATTGGATTTCTGATCGACCCGAAAAATAACAACACTTTGTCAGGACCATGAGGCGATCATTCCTACCAACTTTCAGTTCAATCGGTCCAGCAGAACTTGACTTTAAGTTTGAAATAGGTTTTCAAAATGGCGGCCGTGGCGGCCATATTGGATTTCTGATCGACCCGAAAAATAACAACACTTTGTCAGGACCATGAGGCGATCATTCCTACCAACCGACGGACGACGACGGACGAAAACGGACAGCAATAGGTCACTTGAGCTAAAGCTCAGGTGACCTAAAAATATAAATGATAGTCAGATTTTGACACCATACTTTAAAATATAGCCACAGGTCAAGTGTGGTACTTCAAACAATAGCATCTAAGTTACGATATTAACTCATTCACCCTTAAAAACACATTTGAACACTTCCAATTCAAAGGTTAGAATAGTTCATTATGAAACTTAAGGGGTGAATGAGTTAAGGATCTCTGTCCCAATGCAGGCAAAACGCTAGAGAATTCGACTGTATTTTTTTTAAGTTTTAAAATTTTAAGTTTTTTGCAAGTATGGTTTTCGTTTCAGAAATGATTTAATTATCAAAGTTTCTGTTATGCTGTAAACAAGTTTCAAGTTCATAGTTACTGTTTTGGGTATATGGATTCTTAAAATTGGTGTCGGAGCACAGACAATAATATCAAGCCGAGAGTAAGTGTACGAGTGTTTAGAATGAGTGAGGAGTTTACCAGGATCTTAACAAATCTGTCTTGGTAGAGGAGTAACCTATAGGTTAAAAACCTATTCCCTGACGTTCATAAACCATTGCAGTGCTTCAAAACTGATATCTGATAACAATCACCCTACTGGCTTTTTTTCTACCGGATTATTACAAGCCACATAAATATTTTTGTCAGGACCTGGAATTTCTGCTGAAAAGTCAGTCACTGAACATCTGGAAAAAAGATCTCCAACAATCAAAATTAGTAATGTTGATTACGCCAATGGCTGACCTCTATTCATCCATTATTTTCATCAAAACTTAACATCAACAGAAGAAAATCAAACCATACCTTTACATAAAAAAGTGGCATTCAAGTAATTATACTCTTATCACACCCTTATTAAAACCTCATGTTTGAAAGTGACATTGTCATGACAGCTCAATAAAACCACAAGGAACTGGGAAATTCAAACAGAAGACAATTTGGAGAATAAACTATTTTCAAGCTTTAACTTAATGCACAAGAACCCCTGTAAAAAAGTTACTTCAGAATATGATGATAACCAGTGTAAATGTTGACAATTCGTAAATCAAAATTTTCCAAAAAAGTTCTTTGGGAGAAAAAATGGATGTGAATGATAGCTGAATTAGAATGATAATTTAAAGGAAAGCAAGTTGTATGACAACTCAGCTCAGAGCTTCAAAAAGCTACGGAACCCTGTATAAATACAGGAAGAGAATAATGTCGGGGCTATGACACGTGTCGGTAAAT